ATATATATATATATATATATAAAGTTTATCACTCAATTTTGCTGTTGCAATTTCAGATTACTTCTGCAACTTCAACAAGTTTAAGACTTAAGAAGCAGATCACGTTGGTCAACAGTGCTGATTCTACTACTGTTTATCTGCCTGATTTTAACAAAAATACTGAAATACCCATGAAGTGCCACTAGGTGGCGAGAACCTCCATGTTGGCGACATCAAAACCAGACAGGAAAAACTTTGTTAGCTTTGCTTACGATTTTCCCCAATAGTTGTCTGTTAAATACTGTTGACATTTTTTAATGTGTTTAGTGTATAGTTGGGCAGTAAAAGTACAAACAGCTGCATCMTTAGTGTTTAGGACACAAAATTTAGGTTAAAAAAAATTAGGTCTCTGCATTTTGAGTCTGCATAAACCAAAAACTAATTTTATTCTTAACATTCATTTGAGTTTAACTCACTGAAGACTTAGCATGTGGACAGGAGGTGCAGCAGAAATGTTCAGTTTAAAGAAATGATCTGAAGCAGTGTGTTCGATTGTAGTGAATCTACTAAATCTGAGCCAGAGAAACCACTCCGCTTTTAAGGTGCTTAGAGTCTTTCTTTTTTTCTGAATTAACGTGTCTTTCTCAGCCACTAGAAAGGTGCACAATGGACTGCCTAAATGCATCATTTTACCTGCTGCTTAAAATGTGACAAAAATAACAAAAGAGCTAATCCAAATTCAATAATAAAAAAATAAAATAAATAGAAACACACACAAACACATCTYACTATACTAGCTGGTCATTACTGTTGCCTGGGCCTAAAACCATACAGGACTCTTAATTTTCTGTCAGGGTTGATTCGTGCCCCCCCCCAGTTGCTCCCAGAGGGTAAAAACAACAACCACCTCCACTTGGTTTGCCCCTGTCCTCAGCCCCTCCCAGAGCCCCATGGTGTAATTTGTTCACTTACATCAGCTGCTGAATGGAAAAGCTGGAGAAGATGGGTATGGTAATACAATGTGAAGCGTACAGACAAAGGATAACATGTGAGCTAACTGCATTCTGCTCAGACAAAAAAGAAAAAAAAAWCTTTTTTTTTTTGCCTTTAAAAAAACATCTGTTGAGAGAAAGGGAAGGGGAAGAGATGGAGAAGGATACGCAGCTACAGAATACTCCAGTGTCCAGGAAAGACAGACAACAAGATACAGAGGAAGAGAAGCAAGACATATTTTTTTTGTACTTTTTTTTAAAAACTTTTCTTTAAAGTATTGAACAATAAAAAGAGCAACTAAATCACACCAATTTCCTTTAGTACTATGTATAGTGCTTGAAAAAGCTCGATGAAGAAGAGAAAGATATAGAGATATGAAGGAGGGGACTTTTTTTTTCTTTTCAGATGGGCACTCAGGATTACAAGATGGATTCTGTGAACAAAAGGCACTTTTTAGGGACAACCTTTAAAGATGCTCTGAGTCTATAACACTACATCACCAAACATATATTTATAATCATTTACAGCTTGTGGATGTTCGGGGGGAGGGGGTGGATTTGAGGGTTTGTGGGTGCGAGTGGGGTACAGGGTTCGTGTTCCTCTGACCGTACGGACCAAAAAAAAAAAAAAAATACAATCCCAACATCATTATACACATTTTTTTCTTCTTTTTTGTTTGTAGTAGTTGTGGTTTAGGAAAAGGAATCCAAACTTGTGCATCTCCCGGAGCCGGGGAAGATCTTGTCTTTGTCCCACGTTAGGATCATGTGTGTTTGATACATGATAAAGTCCACTGGGAACAAATGGCCATTTTACAAGAGGATTTTTTTTTCTTTTTTGTAAAGGTTAGGGTGAGGAAAAATGCCTTTTGTTACATCAACCGTTTCGTACAACAGACCCCCCCCTCCCCGGTAAATACAAAACTAAAAAAAGAAAAAAAAAGAGAAATAGAATAATGCATGTATTTCAAAAAAATTTGCCTTTACGATAACACTTAATTTTGTTTATTATTTATGTATAATAGAGACTGAATGTACTTTATTTTTTACGAAAGCACCAGTTTTCATATTGTTATATTTTATGACTTGTTAAATTGTTCTTTTAGCCCTCACACAAGAAGTTCTTCTCTTAAAAAAAAAAAAGCAACAAAAGAAAAAAAAAATTAAAACAAAGTTCCCAGACTTTTTTTTTTCTTTGCCCCTCTTGTATTTAGAGTCCCGGAGCATTTGGACTTGAAAACAAATGAACAAACAAAGAAAAATCTTAAGAGGGCTTCCCTCTTTTTCGCGCGACGCCCTCYAACAATCTCGTAACGAACACGATTCCTCCACCAAGGCATTGCACATGGCTCAATCAACATACATCATTTAGGTTCAAGAACAATACTTCCCATCAAAACAAGAAAGAAAACAACAAAAACCTAATCTGCTCTTTATTAATTTTTTTATCAACTACTTTAGCTTTTTTGCTTTATTGTTTGCGTTTGTGATTTCCTTTCCGTCCTTTCATGCTTACGTGGGCTTACACACCGGTTAAATGAGCGCCGAACGGTAAATTTGATATGCATCCTTTGACTGTGCGATGTTTGCCATGCTTCCAAAAAAATAACTAGACTGCCACAGAGCTTATCTTGCAAATTAAAAAAAAACAAAAACAAAAAAAAAACAGGATATATCTATAAATATATATATGTGTATTATATATAAAGATGCTTGCGATTATCTAGTGAGCTGTCGCTATTTCCCCTCCCTCCTCCTGACATAAAAATTTCACCATTCACTATAGCTTATATATGAGAAAAAAGAACCTGAATTCATGTTTGACAAATTGCATAATGGGAATATAGAGGCACTTCCATAGATTAAAAAAGAAAATCACTGTAGCTTTTTTTTAATGTAACGCCATACTTGGTGGAAATAGTCGTGTGTGTGTGTGAAGCGGATGAGATTGGTCGGCAGTCAGTTGGCCAACTACGGGGGTTCGTTTCCTTGCAGCGAGGAACGTGGCCGGGCAGTCCAGTTATTTTTTGTTTTATTGAATGGGTGATTTAATTCAGCTTGTAACAGAAGATGACTGAATTAGGCTGAATGTGTATTAAGCTAATTCTACAGAACATGATCGAAAGCATAAAGGCCTCATTAGATTGTCGATTTTTGACTTCCCTTTGAATTCAGTCGTGCACAGGGGCTGTGTTTAATACTGAGTGGTTAACCATTAATCTGATTCAAGATGATCTGTGCTCTAAAAGTGGGTTTTCATCCCTGTAACACACCCACTGATTGGAAACACTAAGTGGTTGGTAATCTACTTACAAAAAACAAAACTCTTAAGGTTGGCTGGCATGATTGTATTAGTGCAGTTTGATCTATAAGGGCTCTTTCATTCACAATAACTGGGGGGAGTGCTGGTGCTTGTGTGTGCATGTGTGTTGGGGGGGGAATACCGTGACAACTGGTAAGTTTAATTCTACCATGTTTGATCCACATACTGCAGACCTTATTGGCCCCAGTTCAAAATTTGTCCGATATGTCACGTTTTGTTTTTGCTCRGCAGTGTGGCTGCCTCTGCTCTTGGAGCCGGAGCCTGTCTGAGAGTGTAAACAACGGGCTGAATTTACAGGAGACGGAAAAGAAGAGCTACTCCGGGGGTTTCTTTTTTTTCAGCAAACTTCCCTCCTTATTTTCTATTTTTCGTATTTTACTACCATCGGCAACTGACCATTGCATCTTTTTCAAAAAAATGTTTTTGTAAAAGTTATTACTTTTATTTTTGCACATTTTGTTTGTCTCAAAAAAAAAATTAGCTTCATGTGATTGTCAAAACTCCACCTAACGGGCTGTCTGGCACTGAGAACAAGCAAATTATGTGAATGAAAAATTACATTTTAGAAAATGCCTTTTTTAATTTGCTGGATGAGAAAATTAATACCACTCAACATGTGTAGCTGTAAACGAGGGAGGACCTAGTCTGACTGGATTTTAGTAACTAAATTATGAAGCATTGCAATACCACTTTTAGCCACTAGGTGCTGGTGTCCAACATCTTTAGCAAACTCAAAAGCYGCACTTGTCGTTATCTACATTCTCTCCCAATGTGATTGTCATTATTTTGAAACAGATTCTTTTAATCTTTTTATATCCCAGTAAGACTTTTGGAAAGGAAAGCCTAAAAGACATTCAAATTGGCCTTAAACATCCAGGTTAAATAAGAATAGAATAGAAGAAGACAAATTTGGTTTAAAAGTGATAGTTTTGCAAGCATTGAGACCAAGGCCCTGACCATGTTTTTCCAGATAATTTTAAGAATTAGTTTTTCCTTCACTGTGAGAAACATTTTTATTTTGATGAAAAGCTAAAAATGCAAACAAAAAACTATGTAATACTCGTGTAGTGCCACTAGATGGCAATACAGTCAACATTAATAACGCCTCAACATTCCAAAGAAGATTCTGAGCATGGCTAAAGATCTCTAAAAATATTTGTTGTTTCTCACCAAAAATGCAGTTTGCATAGGGATATTTTGCAAAATATCAGTGTTGGTGTTATCGTTAAAAACACTGATCATGTTAGCATTTAGTAGAAGTGGAAAAATTTACAAAATGGCACCATTGTTGTTTTGGTTTCTAAGATTAATTGTGAAATAAGCATCTACGCTATAGTTTCCTAACTATARTCTACTATGGAAATAATTAATAAAATATTTTTTTTCTAAAAACTTAATTTCTGTATAGATAAGATGCGAAAACAACAGAAATGTCTATTTCTGCAAAGTATCCAGTGTGGACAGGGCCCAAATGAGAGCCAAACTATTTTCCATCACTAAAATTGTGTCTATTGTTCACTGGGATGCTTGAAAAATACTCATTTTCTTATGACTACTTTAAACAGTCTCAAATCAAATGAGCTGTTTGTCAGAGCTCGACATGTGAGTGATARCAGTTTTCACATCTAAAAACAAAAAGCACACAGGCCTTATTTTCCACATTTTTACACACACTCCTTAATCTGGGCTTAGCCAACGGATCTGTGTATGCTGCTTCAACATACCACTTCTTACTGCGTTAAGGTGCTGCCATTCAAATACAAAACAATTCTTATAAAGTAGCACAAATGCAAAAAGGACTCAGTTTAAATAAGAAAAGACAAAAGGGACAAATATTCATCATTCAACTACGTTAGTAAACCCATAGCTGCTGCCAATAGGGGGTGAATAGTGTCCAGAATCAAATGGTGATTGTGAGCATCGTGTCTGGTCAAAGGAGTTTTCTGGGCTTACGGAGAAAGAAAATCATAATTGTGAATATGAAGCTGAGTAGTGAGGACTTTCTGATTGAGGGGAGACAGGAGAGTGAGCAGTGATTGGCTAACCTGGACTCTGTGGGGACGAGGACACGAGAAGCTTCTTGTACCTTGATTTTTTTCCTCTTTTTGTCAGGAAGGTGTGGGTTACCTCCCATGCCTTGCGAGTAAAATAGTGCACATCGTCAATACTAGTGTTAACTGATTCCAAGACGTGTTTTGGCGCGGCGTCCTGCTCGCTACTGGTGTCGTCATCAGTCGGAGGGACAGAACTCATTGATAGGTTTTGGGTTGTGGCTTTTGACACAGGAGCATGGGTTGTAGTTGTCACTGGAAACCATTGGATCTGCATTTGCTGGACTGTTGATTCTCTTAGCCGTTCATCACTAAATGAGTCCTTACAAAGCAGGAGGAGTCGGCCGCTGTCACATCCTCCCGTTGCGCTGCTGCTGGTTTGAGGAGGCCTGTGCTCGCTGCCGTCCCCTTACCTCCGTTTCTCATCCTTCCGTTCTCGTTGCCCATCTGTTCATCTTTCCCTCTCTCAATCTTTGCTCAAACTGGGTCCTCCCTCTGACTGCGTGAACAAGTCCAGAGTTCCACGGGATGTGTTGTGCGGCTGTTGTATTTCGTATCAGGTGAGAAGTGCTGTCAGGGCTGGTCGGTGGGRTGGTTGGAGGACAGTTATTATTATCCTGCTGCGGTTTGTTTTCTCTGTTCTTTTTCTCTCATTTCAGATTATAAAGAAAGAACTCTACTTGCTGGTTTGAACACAGATTCTTGTCAGAGGAACCAAGACTGAAAGAGAAGAAGGGGAAGAGAATCAGAAAATTTTAGAACTACTAAAAATGTGTCAAAGTTTTCATGAAACTTTTTTTTTGTTTCCTGAGGAAAAAGTGAAAACACCTCGACATGTAAATATCCAGACAACCTTCAGATTTTTAACACAACATGTTGAGCAGTTAGAGCAAAGTTGCACAAAGCACCCTAGCATAGTTTCTCATTGASAGGCGACTGTTGCAAAGTCAAAATTGCAAGCAAATAGGCAAATTTCCAGTCCAACAAGTGACCAATGAGCTGTATGGCAGCTTTTTCAATAGCCAATGTTTTTTAAATTATGACTTATTGTCATGTGCACACTTGCAATGCCGAAATCTAGGCCGAGTACATTACTTTGTTGCTCACATTATTCCTACCTTGGCTCACTTTATACTTACTTAAGGCAGCTTCCTTTATGTTTATGATTTAATCTACCAGAAAACACATTAGAAAAAAAGATAGGCAGATTGGATCAGTTTTTATAATTAAATATTTATCATCAGCGTTGGTTTAAGATCCTGACATTTAGGGCTGTAGATTTGTTTCCTGTCAAAAGGCGAGCTCCTGTGCAGATGTCAAAGCACAGACTTAACGGTGTAGAATTTCCAAAAACTAAATTGGAGAAAGGTTTGACATGTTTGTGTTTACGACTACTTACTCACAGCAAACCTATCAGCAGGGGAGTTTATGTCTTATTTTTGAAAATAAAATTGTAATACAATTATTCCCCCCCCACTTTTTTTCCACAAAAAGAAAACAATAAATTTTTTTGTAGCTTTACAAGACGAGATGAAAAACGTTTTAAAATTCTGACCACGTTTAATCTGCCACCCTCCGACCCCCATTAAATAAATAAATAAATAAATACAATGTGCGTTATGCTCTAAAGCCCTGCAGGTCATTTTCAGCAGTTATGCTTAAATGTAAATATATGACACTGTAAATTTTAAAATCAGGCCAAAGTTACCTAAATACAACCAGAGAGCAGCTGTGTTTTTAACCAGTTAGTTTCTATTGTGTTAGAGCAAATTATATCATTTTATTGGGAGGGTTATATTCACAGGATCAAACGTGAGTTTAGAGTAAATAATCACTGCAGATAAGGAAGAAGCCAGCGCCCATCAGACTGCAGTTCCATGACAGTTTTTTTGTCTTGTGTATTTTGGATTTCTCTCCGTGTTTCTGTCACCTCACCCTCTGATTGGCTACACATTCAACAGGCTGTGAGCTCGTTTGTCCTTGGTGAACACCACACATGCTGGGATATCGGGCCAAAACAATCCAACATGTAAAATATCCCTGATTTGAGATCAGAACGGCCCCAATTTTCTGAGCTGACTAGATCACTCGTAACACACCACACACAGCAGGAATATCTCACAGGATTATCTTTAAAGCCAACACGATAATTGGAGCATCCTTAAGATTGTCAGAAGGGCAAAATTGGGCCAAGAATCGGCACAATTATCTTGTCCTGTGAACCAAAGCACAAAGAGGTGTTGGTTTGCAGCTCATCAGAAAGGATTCTGACAGACCGAGTCTTTCCGTTTGTAGAGCAAAGTGTTTCTTGAATTCCACTGAGCAGTAAATGGCTCATCATGACCGAGCAGCAGCAGGGGTGCAAGCAGTCGCCACTCTCTGCCGCTTGTGGTGCGCTCATGTCGGGTGTCTCCTGCCCAGCGGGAGGCCGGGAGCAGAACCGGGTCACGGCTGCTGCTGCTGTCGGCCGGCCTGCTTGGCCTGCAGGATCTGGCTCTGTGGGCTAAAGTGCCAACATTCTAGGAGTCGAGCCTTGGAAACTCCTCTGCACCTCCGGGGAAGCAGCCTTTTATTTAGTTTGACTCTAGCAGGTCGCATGAATTACCCCCTCCCGTCATCCTGCCTCCTGCCCCTTTCAGCTCCCCTCTCTCCCCTGGGCAATGTCCCAGCGAGCCGAGGGGCATTGTGACTTCTCCCTCCTCAGTGTCTGTGCCTCTCTCTGTGCGCAGCTCTCACAAACACACACAGCCCATCTATCTCTTGTGAACACTCCCACTAAACCCTTGGCAGCAGACAGTGACCACCCTCTTTTCTTTCCCGGACCCCTCTTGAGTGAACTCATCTCAGATTCAAGATCAACTGGCTATGACATCATGTCTGGTTGCCGGGGGTAACGAGACAGCTGGGACGTGACTTTCTATATGGACCAAACTTGCTCTCTTCCCTCCGTTTCCTCTTTTTCTGGACTGTTGGGGTCTTGTTTCGGCTCTTTCTTGGCTGTAGTACACAACAGTTGCCACTAGAGGTCAGGATAAGCCCGTCGGTGCTGGTTGGGATGTCTGGTCACCACCGAAACTTTTGACAAAGTCTTCTTTGGCCATCAACTTTTTCATTGATACTGACACGTGGCTCTTCCTTCAAACGTAAAACACTTTTGCTCCACTGAGTGTAAAATATCTGTGCTTTTGCGTTCTGCTACAGTCAGTGAACGAATATTTGCAACGTTCGTTTGGAGTGTGCAGTTTTTTTTTCTTGTTCAAATAAAATATGAGAACAAAAAAAAACAACCCTGAAAAAGTGAAGAGAAGGGGATTATGAGTGGTATAAAACAAACGGCAGGGCAGAGACGAAAAGCGAGACAAAGCGAAGGGRAGAGGAATAAGGGAGGGGGGGGGGATCCTCAGATGGTTTCCATGTGTGGAGCAGCGGAGCTGAGCTGGCTCCAGGCGGGTGTGGTTAGACCCTAATGAGAAAAGTACTGGCTGTAATGGAGGAGGCACACGGGGGAGGCGCAGAGGGGCGATGGGAAGAAACGAGGAAGGTGAGAGACGGAGGGAAGCGAGRAGCAGAAAAGCAGAGGGTTGGGTGGAGAGGAGAGAGGAAAGGTTGCAAAGAGAAGAAGGCATCTGGTTGTGAGGGGTATGCTACGTGCCAAAAAGTACACACACATACACACACACACACGCACAGTAAAATACAGATGCACCCGCTGATTGTGGGTTAGTTTGAGAGGAAACCCAGCAGCAGGTTTCAGGGAGTCAAAACCAAACTTTGGCTTACATCCACACGGTTAATACGTTTCCTGAGTTTCACTGGTAATTACACCAGTTCGTTTTTCTACACAGGCCGTCGGTGAGATGCCTCACCTGTGTCTGCTGCGGGATGTTCAGAAAGTTGTTGTCCCGTGATCCGATGCCGACAAACCTGTTGGGAGCTGTGGTGCCTGGCGTGGAGTATGCTGTAGAAACACAACACACACACAACCGTGGATGTCAGAGATGATTCCAGTAGCTAAGGTTGCACTTTCTGTGTGAATGAAAGTCACGAACAGTTTGGCAGTCTGTGTAGCTTTGGTACTAGAATGTACAGAGGTTAGGCCTCTGTCTTCTTCTGTTTTTCAAACTTGAAGCTGGTAATACCCACTTCACAGACGCTGCCACGYTTCATTTTTGGAACCAGAGTTTGTAAGTCCTCCCCTACTCACATACAACCAAGCATTGAGAAACTTCATGTAACTTAACTAAATGTATATTAGAGAAACAAAAAATTTAACATACAGCAGCAAGATACACTGGAAAATTATCTGTGGTGTTCTTTGAGTATTTTAGTCAGGAAAACATTCCTTTCATATGCATTTACRTCAAACTAACACTTGTTCAATTTCTGGGTTACATTCTTGTGTCTGGCTATAAAATGTGTTCATGATTCATCTGCTAAGCTGTTCAGCAAGCTTTCCTTATTGTTAGTTCCTGTCTTTTATCATGCTTGTAAAACTATCAATTTCTAAAATTGTCAAAAATGTTTGCTTGTGCTCCGCCAAAGGCTGCACGCATCACCAACCAAATCATCAGCTGCACCTGCTGGTCCTTTGTTTCTTGAAGAACAACCCAGAGGTCTAGTGTGTGCGAGTGTGTTTAATGTGATAAAATCAATTGTGAATACATGAAAAGTGTATTAGTAAAGGAATTGTAATACTTTAAAAAACACATTAAGCTGTTTTTTTCAAGGGTTTAACCAAGCTTCAGATGAGATGTAGGAGCAAGAATAAATATCACCTGACATCATGACACATGGGCATTCATGTGAGTGTTCCTTTGTTTGCTAGAAAAATATTTCATGTACCATCTGATGGGTTTTATTGAAACTCTCACCCCCAATTTACACTACTTGTGTTCCGTCTCCGCTCCGCTCCGGTCCGACCTCCGCAGCAAATACACACCCATTAATGATCAATGAGAGTGTTTACACTGGCTGCGCACGGCGGTGGTGAGCGGACGGCAATCTGTCAAAATTAAAACAGATCCTATTTTTGCCGGACAATGGAGCAGCGCCAGAGTCAATTTTTAAAGATTACGTCGCACCAACAGGAAAAGACACGAGCACAATATCCGTATTTTCAAAATAAGACACTATTCGGCGGAATAATTTGTAGGAATAATGCTGAAATTGCGGCTATATTAATAAATATATTTCCACACAAATGCTGTCAGAATGTATCGTTCTGTTTGGGAAGCAGATGGAACCATGTAGCATGAAGCATATGTGTACACACGATACATGTGGATTTTATTTTGAAATCAGAAGTTTTAGAAAGCCGACAGTGAGACAGTTTCAACATAGATACTAAAAGCCTTTATATTAATGTTTTCAGCTGTGTTTGGAGTTCGTCTTTCACAGAATTAATAATTTTTTGCTGTGACTTCCACACTTATCACTGAKTTTATCGCGCGATCTCCTTCCTGCACGTCTGTCGGACCAGAGCGGAGCGGAGGTGGTGTAAACTGGACCTGAAACGCACAGCTGCGACCTGCGCACCGCAGCGGAGCCGTAACACATGTAATGTAAATTAGGGGTCAGAAGCCAACTCAACACAGCTGAACAAACACAAAAATCACTATATCCAATCCATTTCTGTAGACTTTAAGCTAAGGTTTGATGTGGTAGTAGCTGAGACTGATCTCCAGCACATGTGATGAGCAATAACTGACACGGGACATTTTTATTGTTAAAAACAATCTGAGGTGAATTTCCTTTTAAAGAGTACATAAAAAAACACCTCAAAAGACCAAGAATGAACTTTCTGATGATGTTGGACGAGTATTTCCACTAACAGCCGTTGCCTGTTTGTTGTTGACATTGTTACCATCACCTGTCAATCATTAACCATTTCAGCACAAACTCAAGGTTTATTGATAACAGGATCTGGCTCCTYTGTTAGTCACAGGCAGCATAAAACACAGAATCACTTCATTATAGAGTGTGATGTAATTAATAGCCCACCAGGACGTCCTGTGGTATAAAAATCTTGTCTGTTTGAAGCTTCAGACATAAAACATCATCTCTAGTTTGCTTTCGTTTGATACAGGAGGGCAAACTTTACAGGACTGTGGACACAAAGTCAGCAATTATTAGCCAACATCTGTAACTCATCAGCACAACACTCAGTGCTTCACTTCATGGTTCTCCTCACACCACAAATTCATTTCTCTCTGAAGGCCAGTATTTTCCCCAATCCTTGGCCAGCTTTGGTCTCCCTGACACCCATCAGAATAATTATGAGCCTGTGGTCTTTTGTACAAGTGTGTGGTTACATTTTTGATCTTTTTTTTTTCCAGCATCAAGACTTTGACATGAAGCCATACCTACTTTAGCCACTCAGTTTTATACTTAATCACTGGTGAGATGAGTTTTCAAGACAAACAAAACTCTAATAATAAACCATCTCTAWATGTGTCGCAGTCCTCCATAAATCAACAATTTTTTGACAACCTAGACCGAGTCTGTTTGTAAAAAATCATATAGTTGACACGAGTTTATCAAAAATACTAGGTGGAAAAATGTCCAGATCAAAGACGTTTTAAAGTGCAGAGATAAAACTTGACTATCCTGGTTCTCCCCAAATTCTTATTTTCTTTCATTTCATTTACAATTTCCTCTCACTTATAAACCAGCTTTTAGTAGGGGTGTCCCGATACCAGCTTTTCCTCAAACTGAGTACAAGTACTTCAGTTCGGATACTTGCAAATAGTACAGATACTGGGTTTTTACTAAGTTACAACTTAAGCATTACACAATGACTTTAAAGACACATTTCATTTATTTTGAATGAGTTGGCTCACCTTCGACTACAGCCCCTATGATTGTGTCAAATCAAATATARAGCATGATACTGTATATACTGTGGCAAAATAAATAAATAAAAATAACAAATAAGATTTTCTTTCATCTTGTATAATTTTCTTAAACACAGACTAGATCAACTTTTCTTTTGAAATGTAAATTTTAACACATTTAATAGAGTATCGATACCAGTATCGGTCCCAAGTATTGGGACATTTTGAACGAGTATGAGTACTTGTAAAAATGCTGGTATCTATACTGGGATCCCACTACCTTTTAGAGAACAATGTGATTGAGGGCTGCTACTTCATTATTTCTAAAAATCCCTTTTATTTAAATCGTTATCGATCCACCAGAAGTGAATAAAAAAATTCACCTTGTGTACAAAAAGTAAATCCAAGTATTTTTCAAAAAAATGTCAGTTTGTGTGTAGACGAGACTACTGCTTAGGATATTTTTAAAATCAGATTTTCTGATTTTAAAAATATTCTAAATAGTATGAACAGGCTACTAGTTCATGTTAAATGTTCCTACACTATAATTCACTAGGGCTCATAAAGAGGCAAGTTGTATTTAAACTTGTACTTTATTTAAAAGTCGTATTTACAGAAAATTAAACCCAAACCTGCACTTCAGAATTTGCAATGAGAGAATTTCACAAGTATTTACCACTTATTAAACTAAAAGATTAACTACAAATAAACACAAATTGCAAACAATAAACAAAAATAAAAGCAAAAGTACATTTCTAATCTGCAGTATATCATTGAGGTCATTAAAACCCTTTAAAAATGTTTGTCAAAATCTGGTATGCAAACTTTAATTTCCCAAAGTGATTAAATCCAGTTGATTAACTCTGCTTGAAGAGTTTGAGCACATCAGAATGATGACACCGAGCATCAGTCAGGGACATTTAAAACCCAGTGGCATCAACATTTCTGACAAATTTAGGGCAGTTTGAGGTACCCTGTGGACTCCACAGTCTGAATCTCACTGAAGGGTTCGAGGAAGCAGTGTGCAGACTGGTGTGGTCTGTTTGTGTGCAGGAAAGGGAGGAAGGACAGTAATGGGAGACACAGGAAGGAAGGTACAGTATACATCATTATTTCTAAGAACTGAAACATACAAAAGACATTAAAGACTTGCAGACGCTGACTGGGGAATAAAATGAAAACACTAACTTTGAAGGAGAGCTAAAAATGAACAAAATAAAATCAAGACGTGCTCCATCCAGTGCCCCTCAGGAGGACAAATATATCTCTGACATCARTCCCTTGCCTTAAATGCAGTCTATTCTTCCTTTTCACGTTTACCAAAGAAAAATATTCCAACTTAAAGCAATAGTCAACCGAAAAAAAAAAGTAAAAGAAGCAAATATAGATATATATTCCACCAATGTCCCAATTTTTGCTTTGGAGTCCATACAAATTAACTGCCCTAAATTTGTGTCTCAGTTAATGAGTGTTTGAAATCTCACAAGGTTTGTTGGTAAGTCCATCAGGGGAGGAAAAGATTTCTTTAGGAAAATAAGATGCATCCTCCGTAGCACAACACGCAGAGTGGTTTCAAAATGTGGAGCCACTAAAACTCATGGGGCCTAATAAAGAACCATGTGGAGTACCACAGGGGTCCAAAATGACAGATCATCAAACTTCTTGGAGGCTTGGGTAACTCTTACGTGTTCCATTTATTTTTTTTTTATTTTGTGCTGGCTTCCAGGAAGGAAAAAGGGAAGTGAAATGTTGGATGATGGCACGAAGTTGTAGGAAGAACAATGACACGGGTCTTTTTTGTTTGTTTGTTTTTTTGTTTTTGTTTTTTCTGCTGTTGGTTTTGATTTTATAAACGGTCTCTGCGGGGTCACTTACACGGAGATGCGGGCGAGGAGAGTCCGCCGTCAGGGGGTGTGCTGTTGGGTTTAGAGTCGGGCATGGGGAGGGGCACTGGGCGGGCCACTGGGGGAGGTGGAGGCAGCAAGAAGGAGCCTGGCATTTTGCTCTGGCCGCTCCCGTTTGGCTGCAGACAACACAAATAGGGTCAGGTGGGCGGCATGCGACAACCCGCAGACACGGAATGGAAACAGTGCGCGGCTCAAAAAGGCCGGGTCCAAATAAAACATGGCGGAGGGAGGAGAGGGGAGTGATGGTGGAAGGAGGGTGGGTGNAACTGAAGAAATGAGGTATGCGGACAGTATCGGTCATGGAAGTGTCAAAAATAACAGGCACCACAAGAAGTGACTGGAAGTGGGACCAGGAGCTGGAGGTTCCACAGAGGTGGTTCGTGTTGGGTGAAGAAGGTGTGGAGAAGGGAGTGGGGGGAGGCGTAAGAGATTTTTTTTTTATTTTTTGGACTGGGTTTATCCAGCAGATGGCAATAAATTAAAACCATGGGAGAACACTCGTCTACACAAGCACAACACAACCAACAACGATGCGAACCCCAGACAACCAAACTCCAACTAAAATCGGAACTGCCGGAGATGAAAACAAACACGATGACAAAACACAAGATTGGTATGCTTTGACTGAAGCGTGCCGTGATTGATTCGCTCTTGTGCTGATGATTGTAACTTCAGAGGGGTTGGGTGGAGCAAAAGAACAAAMTAAAAACAAACAAACAAAAAAGGAGTGAGGAACATCAGGATCTGAAACAGGAAACGGCAAAATGACATTGACAAAAAAGCACAAAGATTTGCAGACCAGCTGACTAAACAAATGTCTTCGCTTTGTGTGTGTGTGTGTGTGTGTGTGTTTGTGTGTGTGTGTGGTGTGAAGGTTTTAAGTCTTTATAATGTCGGTGGTCATATGTCATGCAAAAATTTCCGGTATGTGATATCAGGTTGAAATGATAATACAGTCATAGGAAAAAGAAAAAAAATTCACCATTTTTCCATTTTAGGGTTTCACAAATCAGAAGATAATAAAAACAGTTAGGTTTTTCCCAGATTCTAAAATTATTTCAATTCAATCTCAAGTGCGCCAAAAAACACAACAGATTCCATCATGTCATTATTTATTAAACAAAAATCAAGCTAAAATGGAAAAGCAGCGCATGAAAATCAAAACCCACACCTGCTGCTTCCATGGGATTTAAGAGGTTCAGTGTCAGCCAGGTGCTGCTGATCCCATCCATAGATTAAGTGATCATCATCAGTGATCACATTAATAAAAGCAGAGATTTGGATTGTTTATTGGTCTGAAACGTGTAGGTATGGAAGAAAAGACATCAGCAGTGACCTTAGAGAAGAAACTGATGTTGCTCATCCATCTGGGAYGGGTTGAAGGTCATTTCTATCTATAGACTGTACACAAGTAGAAAACATTTAAGACAGCTGCCAATCTTCCCAGAAGTGGATGTCCCAACAAATTCACAACATGGTCAGACTGTGCGATTAGCTCCATCTCAGACTTCCAGCAAGTTAAAGATTAAAGTTCATGACAGGACAGTTAGAAAAAGACTGAACAAGTAAAGGCTCGGTTGAAAGTTGAAGGAGAAAGCCTCTTCCCTCTAAAAGAACACGGCAGTCCAATTTAGGTTTGTTAAGTTTCATTTAAATGAACCACAATACAGATGAAACTAGACTCAAAAGTAGAGACATTTACCCACATTGCACAGCACCATGTCTGGGAAATCAAACCCAGAACATTAGCACAAATACCTCTGTATCAGCACAGTGGTATATGGCAGATTTTCAGACCTTTGTGGAGGTAGATGAGAAGCCAATATTTTCCACCGATCTTATCTAAGTGTTGGCCAATCTCCAATCTCCCACATTTTCCACATTCCTACTGCAGACCAAAATATTCTGAGGCCGTCTGTCTGACAGCTGAAAGTTGGACCAAACTGGGTCACGATGCAACAACATCCCATAAACAGCAGCTCATCTACAGCAGAATGACTGMAAAAGAAAAGAATCAAAGTGCTAGAATGGTCCAGTCAAAGTCAAGACTTCAGCCTGATTACAATTCGATGGTGGGACCATAAAAGAATCGTTCAAAATAAATGTCTYCAAACATCAGTGAAACGTTCTAAAAACAAGTGGGTCAAAATGTCCCCACAATCATAAAAACAGCTACTGGGAGTTTTTCACTTTGGTTTGGTTTAATAAATAACAAKGGGGTAAAATCTGGTCTTGTGCTTTTGGACACGGGAGTTTAGATCTGAATAAGTTTAGAACCTGGTAGAAACCAAACTATTTGTAATAGTTTTTGATATGAAAAAGAGCAACTTTTCTTTTGTTTTTCCGTGACTGTACATCATTTAAAATGAAATTTCTAATTATCATCTTAATATCTCAGAAGTCACATCACAATCATWAAGATTGATTCTTAAACCAGAAAAGTCTGATAGTTAGTTCTCATTATTGTGTCTTCCATTTTCTTCCACTGGTAATTTTAATTTTTACTTCTAAATTAAGGTTTTTGATCTGGTTTAGATATGCTTCATACACAAGTCTTTAATATTGTAATTAAGGCAAGGTTTTAAGGCACGGTAATAACTTTCCTACTAACAGCTGGCAGGTCTTACCTGTCCGCCGGCCTGCCCTGAGCCATCAGCACAGACAAACTGCACAAATTCCTTCAGGGGATCCTGTCCAGGGTGGTGGTGGTAGCGGATGGTTGGGTGGGTGAAGTAGGGGCTAGACTGCTGGATGATGGAGGGAGATGGGAAGGGCAGAGCCGAGGCTGAAGCACGGGGGCTTCCTGCAAACACAAATGTTTGTGTTAGATCAATGCAGACAGAAAACCATGGGAAAAGAAAAAAAAAGGCAATCGTTCAGGACGAGACAGATGATCAGTGAATGACAGCAAGAATAGGACACATAAAAGATTTTTTTTTCACATGAAAAGCTTTTGTGGGCTTTGCTCATATTGTTTGATACATTTACAGAAAGACATTTACTATAGATAGAAARACTGTAGTATTTGTGCAAAATCGGGTCCGAATACATCACTCCTTTTTTTTGWAATTGCTTAAAAATAAAAAAAGAACTCTCAACACACAAAGAAAAGACAAATTCCTGCAAAAATGCAGAAATACACATGTAACACCAGTAAATGGCAATAATGTTGAAATTAAATATAAACTAAAAACTTTCTGAAAAGGGCTAAAGATTTTCTCAAAAAACCTGAATCTGGATTATTTCTTTGACATTGTTCATCATTTCATGTCAGTCTGTAATCTTTTCAGCACAGTGAGCCAGACAAAAGAAAAAAGAAAAAGAAAGAAAGAAAAAAGAAAGAAAAAAAACCTCATTTGATAATGGTTTCTTTTCTCGAACAGAAAGCAGCTGTGTTAACATATCAAACAAGTTGCTGAGTCATAGTTTTAAAGGTTTTCAAGTCTACACAAATACACTGAGTTTTAAAACTCTTCGCCTTTAAAATGCATTTTAAAAAAATACAACTTGTCTCACCAAAAATGTTTGCCTGTAAATAAAAGTTGTTGACCATATATGTAACAGTGGACCTGGTTGTCCATCACTGAGAACTGAAGATAGGAGCTAGTTTACAGGAGCTGCCATGTTTTATTTTTGGAATCAGAATCTGTGCACCCAAAGGGAAGCTGGTCCCATTCTGGCTTCAAATTCCAACCAGAGGCGCCTCCAGAAAATGTTCAGAGGCGGCCTCAAAAATCAGATAATACAGTAGGTCTGTGCTTTTATTTTATTACAATTCAAATGACCAARTCTACCATCGCTATTCAATTTATTAAAGCGGCTAGAAATTTCAAGGGGTGGCCWTTGGCCCCACTGGACTCCCCTTGGTGGCACCCTTGCTTCATTAGATGTCTATATTTTTTGTGTTAATGGTAAGATGTGCTACCTATAATGAAAGTAGACATGCTTTGAAAATTTCTTTCATAATGTTGTTAAGATAACTTGTTTATCTTGTTRCTCAAGATAAGATTTTTATTTTGTTGAGTCAAGATAGCAAAGCTTTCTCCAGAGACGATGGAAAGGGTGTCTGTAGACTACACTTTTTTAAATCACAACAGCGCTTCTTCACTAGAAATCAAGAAAATCATTGCAGCTGATTCGAGCTGAAATCTTCCAGAATCACCCATCGATGAACATCATCTTATTATGGATCCTCTCCAKGTYTCATGGCAGAGATACGAAATAAAGAAACTGGATGTAATGCAGGATTCACTCATTTTCTCACCGTGTTCATCTTGTTTTCAGAGGAAAAGCTTGTCTTCAGGAAACAAAGCTTGTTTTTCAATGAGCTAGGTTGTTTTGAGACAACAGAACAGTTAACCCGTGATCCCAAGAAAACCACGTTAAAACAATAACAGCAGTATGTCTGTTCTCTGTGTTCATAAGGTGCAAATTTAGCCAAGAAAGTTTAGTTTGCAAAATATCTGTTAGTGCACACGGGGTCTTTTTTTTGTGTGTCACTTCAGTAGAAAACGAAACCAAATATTAGTTTATTTAGTTTATTTATTTCTTCATCATCAGTGACTTTTTTAAGTGAAGAGAAAATAGAGACAGAGAGAAAAACAGAGAGAACTGGAGAAACTTAGTTCTAAAGCACCAACCTGAGGGCTCCAAATACAACAGACAACATTTAAATCTGCCAATAAAATGCACTGTGCCTGCTTAAAGTCTTACTAACTTACTTACAGCAGCTAAAAGCTTAAAGTAGCAAAAGAGGAGAGAAAAAAACAGCTGAAGCCAATTTTAAAAAGGAAGATTTTTTTCCAAAGGAACTGAAAAGGTCTGTGTATTTC